CGAACATCTCCTGCAGACTCAGCGACACATACATTTATTACTTTGGAAGCAGGGAACGCCAGGACAGAATATACAAGCATCTGTGTAATCAAACAGAAACCCCCCTCTGATGTTTCTTCTCTATTTTTTATTTTCAATCCAACTGTAGATGAAATAAAAAGCAATTTGGCGTCAGTGATTCAGTGTTGATATGACCGACAGTTGGTTAATTAAATTGTCACCAGGCAGCAATTTCTTCAAACACAGCTCGTCTCGGGATAGACTGTGCATCTGATTCCACGATGTTGGAAGAAAAACTGAGATCTATCACCTCGTGTTGTGAAGGCTGCCATCTCTTACTACTTAAAAATGTACATATGTAATGGCTTCTTAACAGGGTGCAGATTCAGACAAAACAATAACTATTTTACTATGTGGCTGAAACCTGACAAAATGTTAAAGAATGATGTGATTATTTCAGTTATTTGTGAAGTAATTCAGGTTTTCATCATGACCTAACTTTTTGAAAACTTTTCCACTCATTGCAGAAACATGTGGGTCCTATTGTAGCTGGTTAAAGGATCTTTAGGTTAGCATAAAAATGAAAAATGTCTTCATCTTTTGGTCATTTTGGTTCTGATCTCAAAGACAGACGGCTGGTTGAAGCTATGAGCTGAACGTTATTGGAATCATGTTTTTTGGAGGAGAAACAGGAACTCTTCTCCTTCTGGACTAAGGTTGTCAAAATGTTGAATACTTTGAGACTTTTTGATGTCATATTTTGAAAGGATAAAATTTCAGTTCTTTACGATCAATATGGAAAAGTACCCAACTACAGATCTGAAGTCATATTTTAACCAAAAGCCGCCGCGAGAGAAAATGAGAGAGCCCAGTTTAAATCACACAAATAAACGTTTCCGATGTATTCATGTAATTTAGACACTGTGCAGGATTTTGTTTGCAATTCAATTTCAAATTCCCCAAAATCAGGTGCCTATGACTTCTCTTTTATATTTGCTGTGGTAAGATAAGAAGCCTTCATATCATTTGATTTTTACTAGTATCATTTCAAAGTGTAGAAATTGACTTAGGGTGCATCTGAGATTAAAGGGGGTGCAGCAGCTAGTGACCGGCAATGAAAAATAGTGTAGGTGTTATGGGTACCTCATGGTCCTGAGTGAACAGACAGGTGAGTCCCTGTGGTCATTTGAACACCTTGATTACTTATTGTAACAGAAAAATACTGTTGTTATTGTTCACGTCCAATCAATTGATGGTGCAGAAATTTTAAAATGAGGGTGCAATGTGTCCTTTTGCACCCTTGTAGAAACCTGGGCTGCTAGCCTGGCTGTGTCCAAATGTTACATAATCTGTTTGACAGCACCAATAAAGCTCACATATTAACACATAGTAACATGCTGTGTACATACAAAGAATGAGGTGACGGTTTTCCTCAGTCTGTCTCCAGTCCTTGTGCAAAGTTGAGCTATGTTAACTTCCTGCTATTGTTAGCCTTATAGTCTGAGGTGCTGCTTGTCAACAGGCAAGGCAGGCAAAGCTTGGGGCCGCAGACCAGCAGGGGGCCCTCGAGGGCTCACAAACTTAAACCAAAATGTGCAAATTTTGCAAGGACAGTAAACTCCCTAAGGGGGCCCCATCTGACAGCATTCATTGTTGTTGCCCTGCTAAGCGTCGCGTCCATTAGTGCTGTGAAAACTAAAGTTTGTCAATGAAGGACAAATTAGGAGGAATTATCTGTCTATAGGAAAGAAAAAAGAAACGGAGTAAGCGCCGGGACATTGGCAGACATGACGGTGATGGATGCTGGTCAGAGGGACCCCCTATTGGTTCTTGCTTAGGGCCCCAAGAAGCTCTAGAATGGCCAATGCTTATAGTCAGTCAACAGGCATACAGTAAGCACAATTTCCCAAAAGTTTTCTACTTTTCTTTTAAGATCACCGTCTTTTCAACACCAATGAACAGAGCTTTCAAAAGAAAGGAGAAGACACGAGGCTTAAAAGTGTCTGAGGGTTTGTGGGTATGAGGAAGGTGACAGAGTGTTAATTAAAAGCAGAATCAAAAAGGCAGGAAACAGGAAAGAACAGATGATTTATAAATCTTCAAGATATTAAAAGAGAAAGTGCCCAACTCACAGAGGAGAAAAGATGGAGTGACTGAGCGCAAAGTTGTAGCCCGCTGGATAATTAGTGCCCCCGCATGGCTTCTCAGCTGTCGGGTTTTAATTACAGACTTGGGGAGCATGACGGGAAAGACAAAGTGACCCCCCCCCCCCCCCCCCACCTAAACAAACCCCTCACGAATACACACTCCACTATACCCCAACCTGACGCTTGTTGTTTACTGTAAATATTTACCTGTTCATTGGATGAGTCATGAGTTTATTTCTCATTGTCAGAGGTGGTTTTTAGCTAAAAGAGTCACACATAAGTAACAGCCTGTGATGCATCGCCGATTCTCATGCAAATTAGGGGCACTTAATGCCACCCCGGCCTCACAAACACAGCAGAGAAAAATCAAAGCAGCTGCTGTGAAATGCTAAGGACTCTATAAATGAGTGTAGAGCTGACCTCAGACTCATTGGATGTATTTCCTGCATTCTCCTTAAATGTCACGCAGGTCTGCTGAAGGAGAGGCGATGCTTGTTGAGCAGGGCGATCGGAAACACTCAAACACATTCATTCTGTAGCTCTGAGAAGAGCGCAGTGGAGAGGGCTGTTGTTGTTGTTTTTTTAATTGTTTTTTTGTGGCTGAGAGAAATAACATGTTGTCTCTGCAATCTGTCCGACCGAACGTGATGATGGTTTAGCTGTCCCCATCAATAACCCAACATGTTTGTCATTATGACCAGAAGCATGTGTGTGTGTGTGTGTGTGTGTGTGTGTGTGTGTGGAGAAGGGGTGTGTGTGTCTGTAGCATCTTCCTTCCTTGTCTTTCTCCTCTATACTTATGAGTCTCCATGACAACATGGCCACCGTCCAGCATCTTGAAGTTTTAAGCAGAGGCACAGAGGTGAAACTATTAGCACTGCAGAGAGCGATATGATTGGCTGGTCTTTGTGTTCGCTTTCAATTGAAAATCCTCCCAGCACAGAGACTGTCTTTGTCCCCGATCTCATCAACATCAATTCAGCTTCCGCCCGGCATTAATCCACTTTCATTATTTACTTCAAAGGACAGACAGGAAGTCATCCTTGGCATAATAGTTGGCTGGCGTTTGACATTTATTTCCATTTCTCTGGGTCGTACAGGAAATAATGCAGACTCTGTGTCTGTCCACGTCACAGCCAGACAGGTGCCCAGCCAAGCTCAGAGAATTAACACATGTCATGACCCACCAGAGGGGTTTCCACATGTGTCCACTTCACTGCAGAATATCTTCACTGCAGGATCAGAAACAGCTTTATCACGGATAAAGAAAGCTGAATCACTTCTTAGATGTGGGCTCTGATGACATTAAGGCCTTGAATGCAAATGAAAACAAGCTGAGAATACAAGATTTAAAAGAAAGAAGTCTTCAAACTTCCAAAACAAAACAAAATAATACAACTTATAGAATATGCATGAAAAAGAAAAGATTTTTCAATTACTTATTGTCGGTTTGAAGATGACAAAACAGAAAAAAGTTTAATATTTTGTCCTTTCCACACACAAAGAAGATACCAGAAATCCCCCAAAGGCTGTCACGTCTCATCCGCAGGAACACAATGTGCTGCCTTCAGGGTGGAAACCTCCTCCAGTGTACTGCACATTTATCTGAGGCTTCTTGAATCTGCAGTTTTCTCAAGTTAAAGAAAGAGCTAGTGAAGTGTGAAAGAGTTTCACATTTTAACACCCTTAAAAAAAATGTCTTCTTACAGTTCGGCCTTGTACCTACTTTTCCATTTCAACAGATCTTACAATGTCTGGGATTGGATTAAGAGATCCTACATTGTGTGTATGTGTGTGCGTGTGTGTGCGTGTGTGTGCGTGTGTGTGCGTGTGTGTGCGTGCGTGTGCGTGTGTGTGTGTGTGTGTGTGTGTGTGTGTGTGTGTGTGTGTGTTCTCAAAAGTCTTCAACCTGAGTCTGTAGGAAAATGCTAGTTTTGTTTCCTTTTTTAAAATCCCTTGAGTAAATCTGTCACTTCCAATCTCTGCGTCATGACATGCGTCTGTGACATGGACTCATCCATCCAGCAACACCGACTCATTCATTGATAGCTGAGACGAGAAGTCAAGGGGTGGCCGGAACGAATGTTGGTCCATGAATGAGAGAGTCTGTCTATCTCTGAAGTAAGACGCGCACCTCCTTTTCAAACATCTGATGCGTAAAAACCTTTTCTAGCAGGATGAAAACATGAAATAGAGGATGTCACCTCGTGTTCTTTTGACTAAAAGCTGATTAATATTTTTGCTCGGACATGACGTGAACTCACAGCGATCTATTTTTAAATTACCGGGCATGTTTCCATAGCGATTTCAATGATGTTGCCAAGCAACAGCATAGGATACAATAAAGACATGAATGAAAGTAGAAACTGCGCGCACACTTCCTGGTTTGGACCGGTAAAAAAAAGTGAATGGGCTCCATCTCGCCGGCTTGTGCGTCGTGTTTTTCTGCAGACCTTTTCACTGTGAGAGTCTGTGATGGAAAACAACGCGAAGTAACAGTTGGCAGACAGCTTATGTCAAGCACGTAACGGACATCGCCATTAGGTTCACGTTGATTTGCTACTTCAAAAATATATTGTCGTGCGTATTGACCTTTTACCCCCACCTGATCCATGAGCTCTGAAACTTGTTCCTCGTGAGTGACCGTTTCTTGGTTGTTTCCATCACCAGATCGAGACACTGGCTGTGCGTAAAAGGAATGCGCCCTTGTGCGCTCATGATCTGTGCGCACTGGGAAACAAAAGATTATCTATTGTAGGAAAAAAGATAGAATTCAGACAACCTGTTGAGCTCAAATGACCACGCAGAGCCGGATAAGTTTGTGTGGGTTTTTTTGCGTTAGATCGGGCTTACCTTCAATACAGCAGATTCTCCAGAGCCCGGAGTGGGTGAGATCGCCTTTCTTGGATTTGGGCTGCGGTGGGGTCTCGTCCGTCGTGGCATTGGTACTGTTGCAGATGTACGCCCGCGAATAGAGCCAGAAGTCCGTGCCGATAGCGATGGTCATCAGGCTGAAGGCAGCGAAAGCCCCCACGGTGGCCAGCAGCGTTTGAACCCCGCGGTCACACCAACCCATGGCGCTTCATACTAGTCCACACTTTCAGCGGTCCAACATGCACTCACAGGAGCGCGTCAGGGCGCGGATCCGCTTTGGTCATACTTGTTCTAATACGCACACTCCCTCTGTTCTTCTTCTGAAAGTGACGCGCGTAAAAAAAAAAAAGAGGGAGAAGTCTGTGGTTTCTGTGGTCTGAAAACGCTCACCTGATGCTCAACACCAACTGGTTGTTGCTGTGAACATGAGAGGACACCAGTGGTGCCCACTCCATGGGCTCCACGCAGGTTTGAAGCGCGCAGGGCAGCACGACAGCAGCATCGTGTGCCAAATCAGAACACTTCAAACCTCCTCACCACTTCACTCTTCTGTTTTCCCCTATTTGCTTTGTCTCAATCCACTTTCCTCTGCTCTTACACAGACTGTGCCTCTGTTAAAAAACCAGTACCAAAGAGGGATACGTCAATGGCTGTTAAGTGAGACCCCACCCTCACCAAATCTAACCAATGGAGACGCGGTTCTGTTGGATAAAGACAGAAGAAAAGTCACATTACAAATTTTTAACTGGGTCACGAAAAGATTTCAGAATGGGAATGATGTCTTTGGGGGACATTTTGACGAACTATCTCTTCTTCTGAAGCATTTGGACATTCTCCACTAGAGTCTGAATATTTCCTAACTCACTGTCAGCAGTCACAGGAGAGAGAGAGGAGGGGGATGCTAAATAATAAATAATGAGGAGAATTGACCCATCAGTCCCCTCTCTGAGGTGCACTAACACCAAACAACCAATCCCCCAAATCCCCTGATGAACAGAACTTAAAAAAGCAATTAGGTACTCGAAGAGTGTAGATAGATAGATAGATAGATAGATAGATAGATAGATAGATAGATAGATAGATAGTGATGCAAATGGCAGTGATTGTTTCTCTTTCAGACGGTTATAAGATGGTGAGTCAAATATGAGAAATAATGATAATTGTTTGTCAGAAAAAGATAAAACGTGGGAATAACTGACAAATCCTTCATCTCTCATCACGCTCACACAGGCTCCTCCAATCAGAGAAGGGCTTAGATCAGGGGTGTCCAAAGTGTGGCCCGAGGGCCATTTGCGGCCCTTGAGGGGATTTTTTGCGGCCCGTGACTTCAAATGAAGAATCAGAAGATTTTGTCCCAAGGCCTCGATTAAGATTGGCACATTATCTTATTTTTCTTTTTCATGTTAACAAGGGACGAACAATATTCCTAAAATAGAAAATGTTCAGTAAATCTACAGCTTTTACTATTTTCCACATTTTTTTTGTAAACTATGAAAAAAAACGTATGCAAAGTTTTTGCAAACAAGCGGACTGTTGTTTAACCATTTAATGACCTGAGCTAAATGAAGAAAGCTTTTCTAAAAACATGAACCACATTACAGACTCTGAGAAAAAAAACAAATAAAGTAGAACGAAGAAATCAAAATATTTGATTTCCTTTTATTAAAGGGTTTCTTTAGGAGCCTTTTGATTCTGATCTACAAAGACTTACTATTTTTTCAACTATATTTTAAAAAACAAAACCTGTGGCCCGCGAGCGATTCTAACACGACAATTTTGGCCCGCAAGAAAAAAAGTTTGGACACCCCTGGCTTAGATCATATAGCTTGCTAATTGCTGCTTTTTCAAACTGCTATAGTGCAGGAAAAAAGAGACATAAAGTTGCTCATTGGGCACTGAACAGTGTGCGGACCTTTCTCTTTTTTCTGCAGTTAATAAGACGTGTCCTGCACCTGTGTGCATTCTGCTTGGATGTGTGCACACTAGTTTGTTCTCTTCTTGAAACTGCTTTTTTGCCCATTTAAATACCAGATTTACACATGCCACCCCACAGCTCTTCCCCCTTTAAGATTCTCAAACTAGATTAGATTAGATGTTTATTGTCATTTGCACAGGTACATTTGATGTGTATGTGCATTTCTCCAATACGTAGCTCTACATACAAAAATAAAGGCTATGCCATGCCAGAGTTATGAATTATTAGAGCTCTGGGTTCTAATGTTGTTCAGGTTTTTGTTTGGGTTCTGTTACTGCTGGGGTTTTGTTGTTGTTGGTTGGGTGTCTCAGGTTGGGTTGCTGTGTTGTCATGGTCTTTTAGAATAGAATAGAATTACTTTATTGATCCCAAACTAGGAAATTGTGGCGTTACAGCAGCAGGTTATCCAAACACACAATATTAGCAAATTTAAACACAATATAATATTAAATACAAAGTAAATAAGCACTAAAAATATCAAAACTAAGAATGGGAATATATACAACCAGGATTTAACTTAGCATTACTAGTCTTAAATAAGAAAAGATTAAATACAACATACTTTTGTTGTCGTTTGTTTTTGTTGTGTTGTTGTGTTTGCTTGTGCACGTGTCAAAGCACTTTGTAAACCCTTGTTAGTAAGAGTGCTGAAAAAAGAGAGCAGAACAATCAATAAAAGCGTAACTAGTTAAGTACACAAGAAATATAAACAATATAAAAAAAGGAGACACTGTAAAAGAGAATGTTGTGCATCTATTGAGATTTGTCTAATCTAATTAAAATAAATATCTTTATTAAATCATGCAATTCAGGGATTATTTGATGCATCCTTCTTTTTCACTCTTTACTAAAATATTATTTATGTTTGACACAGCTGGCTGAAGGAAAAACTTGTGATACTCTACCTCCACAGTCCAGTAGGTGGCGCCAATTCACTCCAACGCTGGAGGAAAAGGAAAATCTGGTAAAAGTACTACCAGGAATGTGAGCAAACAAATCCCAAGCAGTGGACGGTGACGTTACAGTACGGGTGCCCGTGAGTGTACAGTGCATGCGTACTGCTGGGTTCGGTTGACTCTGTCGACTACAAACGCGCATGTGCGAAGGTAAGCAGTGACCACCGCGTCTGCTCCTTCTTTATTCTCTGTGCAACATCTGAACAAAGGCCTGCCCCCTTTTCATGAGGAGACATCCTCCGCCATCGTTACTTTACGTGTAATCACGATTACTAAACCTGATTACGGTACTTTTAATATATATTTTCAGGACGTCAGTAAACAGTAGAAATAACGTCCGAAAATGGATGTCGATGCGCCGGACAACTACGGTGAGAGCAAGTCGGCAATGCACACTTGGCGTTATCGCCACCATTTCACGTACAAGGCAGATCAAGGGAAAAATATCATCGTCCAGTGTAATCTATGTCTGCCGAGGGTAAATCTGCTGTCCACGTCGAAAACATCCACATCAAACCTAAAGAAGCATTTAGACGTAAGTTACAGAGAGTAATTTCCCTGTAATGCTTCCTTTGTGTGCGCCGGGTTAATGATTACAGGAGTCGATGAATGAGTAGATACCCTGGTGAGAAATAACGTTACATTGTGGCTGCATGCTGTGCACAGACTGAAGGCGCTGCAGGCTCTGCTTATAATCCAGCTGCAACAGAAAACAATGCACAAGTGTTATTCTGAGTTTTTTTTTAATGCAGTTAAAGTTTGCAAACTTATTCAAACTCTTTCTTTTTTTTTTTTTTTTTAAAGTTGAAATGACACAACCCTCCCAACAACTTCCAAAAAAGAAAACCTTTGTTGCCGTTTCTGTGTTTCAGAGAACACACTTGGGCTGTGAGGCCAGGCCGGATGCAAAGAGAGGGAGGAGGAAAGAGGAGCAGAATGGAGACGAGAGCAGACACCTGCAGCTCAAAAAACTCAAAGCCGAGATCATGGCCAAATGCATGACCCAGGCGAAGACTGACGACCTCGTTTTCAACTTCATCGTGGAGGATTGTCAGTCGTTCTACGTGCTCGAGCAGCCGGGCTTCAGGAAGCTGATCGAGGGTCTGACCGAGGGGCTGAAGTCCATGGACAGGGTGACCCTGTTCACGAAGGTGGACCAGGGCTTCTCCAGGATGCGAGAGGAGCTGATGTCCAAGCTGAGCGGCGTCCAGTACGTGTGCACCACAGCCGACGTCTGGACGGCCAACAGCAGGAGTTTCTTCGGGATGACCTGCCACTGGATCGACGCCGCGTCCCTGGAGAGGAAGTCCGCCGCTCTGGGGTTCGCGCGGCTGCAGGGGAGGATCACCTACGACAACATCGCCGGGCGGATACACGACATCCACGTCGCGTACAACATCGAAAGCAAAGTTCAGACCACGGTCACCGACAACGGCAGCCCCTTCACGAGCGTGTTCAAAGAGTTCGCGTTGGACGTCCAGGACAACGACGACGACGACATCGGTTTCTACGAGAACGTGGGCGCCATCCTGGAGGGCGAGCCGGAGCAGGACATGCTGCTGTTCCTGCCCACGGTGCAGCGCTGCGCGTCGCACACCCTGGAGCTGATCGTGACGGAGGACTTCTGGCAGGCGGTGTCGCAGGGGCCCATGTGTCAGCTCCACTACAGCACGATGGCCAAGGTGTACTCCATATGGAGCAAGTGTCACCACCTCCAGGTGGGGATGGACGCCGCCGAGGAGATTGGGAAAATGGCCCTCGTCGTCCCCGCCGTCGTCCGCTGGAACGTGGAGTACTGCGCCGTGCAGAAGGTTGTCTCCCTGAGCGAGCGCGAGCTGACGGAGCTGTGCGCCCGCCTGGAGGTGTCCCGCATGCAGCCGGAGGAGACGGCGTTCCTCAAGGAGTACGTGGCCGTGTTCCACCCGCTCGCTTTCGCACTCGAGCTCTTCCAAGCGGAGCAGAAGTGCTACCTGGGTTTGGTCATCCCCACCATACTCAGCCTGAAGAACAAGCTGAACGAGCAGAAAGACGCCGCCAACTACTTCGCCGACGTCATCAACGCCGTCGTCGTGGCCATCGACGTGCGGTTCCAGGAGCTGTTCGCCAGCACGGAGGCGAAGATAGCGACGGCGACGACGCCTCAGTTCCGCCTGTGGTGGATGGCGGCGTCGGAGCGGGAGGAGATGTGCTCCCTGCTGGCGACGGAGGCCTCTCAGATGGATCCCTGCATCATCACCGTGGCGACGGCCAGCCGCAACTCGTCGACCATCGAGTCCGAGGACGACTTCTTCAGCTACGGGCCCGTGAAGCCCGCCATTCAGATCCAGCAGCGGGGGGTGATGGAGGAGGTTCAGAAGTACATCGAAGGGAAGGGGAAGAGCCTGGAGTGCCTTCAGGACTTCCCCCCGAGTGAAGCAGCTCTTCCTTAAATACAACACCACGCTCCCCTCCACGGCGCCCGTCCAGCGGCTCTTCAGTCAGAAGGGGAACCTGGTCACCTCGCAGAGAAACTTTCTCACCGACGACTACTTTGAACGCATTCAGCTGCTGAGATACAACAGCAACGTGTGCACTCTGATCACAGAGTGAATCTCTCTGCCTTTTAACGATGCAGAATCAAACCCTGAGTAATATATTATTTCAGACAAAAAGCCC